TGAAAAAACATTCGATTGTTATTGATAAGGAGACGTTAGTTTTTGACGAAGGCGGGTTCAGCCGTTCCGAAGATACGGAGCAAAAAGTGCCAAAAATGGTAACTCAGTTTTAAAGAGAACGGAGCGTCCGATTTTAATAATTCAAAAAACATTCTACTACCGTCACTACCGTTCCCTGGCACAGCCTTGCCCAACCTTGCCTACTATTTTATGTAATTTTAGATCTATCAACATAACTAGCAAACTATAATCCAAATTTTAGTACTTGCAAATAACCAAATAAAATCACATCAGTATCATATTCTTAAAGAACTGCAAGTAAGCAAAGCAACTTTTCATCATTTTGAAAAAGACGATATAATTATTTCAATAGCACCCGCGATTCATAACCTTTTACTACATGAACTGCTGGTCTATCTTAAAGATAGAAGAGACTGTGACGTCACTTGCTGAACGAGCATTACCGACAATCGTGGAGCTCTCCCAATTGATTAAATTGCCATATGTCATATGTTTTATATAAATAAATAAAACTATTTATTTTGAATAACATTAACTATTATAATGAATATTATTGAATATTACATATTAATATCACATCTTACAAAATTATCAGTCATCACAATTGACATTATATTATTAAAATAAAACATATGACATAAGGCATTTAATCAATCGCTAGAGTTCCACGATTGTCGGCAATGCTCGTTCTGGAAGTGACGTCACACTCTCCTTCTATCTGTACACACTTTATACAATGGAAAACGTATGAGGCCTAGCTGTCCATGTAGTATAAGGTCTATCGCCAAATCCCAAAACTCTTGTATACCAACCGGATAATTTGTTTTAAGACAACTTACCCTACTAAAAGTGGTGTACAGAAGAGTTCATTATCCTTCTTTTGTTTATTAATTTTTCATCAGCGGTTATTTTAAAGTAAACTTATTGTCTCGATGAGAAGCTCAACAGATGCGCCCGAGTAATCGATATCATGACCGCCAACTGCGTTCTGTGAGCGGAACCGAGAGCTCGCTAATTTAATGCTGTCAGTTCTTGCAAATCGGCTTTTTGTCAAAATATACCAGATAGTCCAAATATACATCACTTCAAATTTCCAATTGAAGTACATTTATTTTATAACACCGCAAAAACAATTGTTTTTATAACGAGTATTTTTACATTTCCGTACTATAATTTATAGACAAGTTTCACTTTCAATTAGACGAAGTCAAATTATCCTTACGATAATTTATAGACAAGTTACACTTTCAATTAGACAAATTTTAACTACTGCGTAATGGAGAATACATAACCACATGTCAATAAATATATTACGTTACTGAAACCACAAATTATGTGTAAGAGATCTAAAAGAAAATAGCCTAAACTTTCCCGTGTGTGTAATTATTCGACTCAATTAATAAAAATTGAGATTCCGCAAATTTTAAAATTGCGAAAAAAAAATTCAGAACTGTTTATTTCGCAAAAAAGTTGTCTGTATTTGCGACATTTGTTTTCTACTATATTTTTTACTGTTAAACACAATTTGAAGTAAAACTGCAAAAAAGATTTTTTTTTAAAACTAAATCACGTTATAGCCCAAGATACTTAATTCGAATACATCTTTCCTCAATAAGTAAAAAGAAGTGTTTTCTTTACAATTTTTAGCTAGTTTTTCCTATTTCTCAATGAAGTTTTTTTTTTTTTAGTAAATGTTTATAGTTACTTTTAAATTTCGACAATGATTATAATTATCATTTTACATCTCCAACATCTAAAACTCCGAATAAGTGAAATAATGATATTATTTATATAGTGAATTGTAATGGTTGTAACTGTTGGCATATTGGAGAAAATTCCCTATACATTTACAAGATAATTCATCATTGTATCTGTAATTCAAAATACCCAAAACAATTTAAAACAATTCATTTCATCGGCTTCTTGTCAAAATATACCCGATAGTATTGGAGAAACTGTAATTAGTGGTTTTCATCACTTTAAATGTCTAAAGGAAGTACATTTATTTGATAACACCGCTTAAAACAAATGTGTTTAAAAAGAGTATTTTAAAACTTCCTTATGATAAGTTATAGACAAACCAAGATCATTTGGGTGCATCTCTAAAAAAATTATGAATGCATATAAGTGAGGGTCCTAGGGGCTATAGTAACGGAGGTAACTAGTAACAGGCATTTTTAACAGAAACTTGAACAATATTAAGATATTTTATTAGCTATATATAAATATAACTACTGTTCTGCAGGCCAACACAATAAACAGAACTGTGCAGGTCCGTCGTTTTTGAAATTTATAGATAGTAAGAAGCGGGTAAATGTGAATTGTGTATATTTATTATTGATATTAGAATAATAATTGTATTTTTTGTTAATTCAAGATAGAAATTTATATTACAGGAGACATTATATACTTTATTTGTGTTAATTATAATTTGCATTGATTTATGAAAAGAATTACTTAGAAACAAGATAATTTTCTTAAAAATAAGAAACGACTAAATTATCGGAGTTATTATTATCATTTTTTGACGTTACTACTTGCCTTAGTAGACGTTACAACTAGCACCAAACACGGGTAAAGTTGTAACACCGCACTTTTTCTGAAAATTATTAATTGTGAAATAATGAAGAACGGTTACGGAATTACTTTTACTTGATTTGTTAGTGGAATAGTTACAAAAACTACCCATTATATTGTCGTTTCGAAATATAATCAGAGCATCTCAAGACATATTGGGTTAAAAAAAAACTATTACAACCAGCGAATAGCTCTTCAATGTACTTCGAATTTGACGCATATTGGAAGAAACTTGACTTAGCCGATTTGGATGGATCAAAATCGTAAAATTCGTTCTTTATTTCGGAAATTTCGTCGATATTTGTTAAAAGAGTCATGTGAAAAAAGTACTAAAAATGTCCATTTTTGGCGGAAAAATGAATATTTGACATATACACATCCATTTACCAAATATTATATCGATATTTTGATGCTTGCATTTTCCATGTGCGCTGGAGTTTCGTATCAATGTACAAAAATTCTTTTTAAGATTAACATTAAAGAGTTATAAGATTCGCTGTAGGAAAATATTTCAACTATACCAGTGGAAATTTCGACTTTTGTTGTGAAATTTACAAAGATGACATTCGTTTATTACTTATTTTTCGGTTTTGTAGCAATGATATCGTTGAAATAAATAGTTGTTCTCCGTACAAAAAATGAGAATTAGATATGAAGAGCATATTATGAAATTTGTGTTTACTTTGTGTAATTGGATTCCGTGCCAGTATTTTAAAAAAATGATATTATAAACATGATATCAAATATTATTCAGATTAAAAAAATTAGTTATTTAAATAATAATTAAATTAGATCAAAGAAATGTGATCACCTATTTGTTATCAGTAGTAAGAATCAAAGTAACTGGGCTTAGCGCTAGGGTCCAATTTAAATTTTGGTACTTATACTGTCTAAAGTTTAAACTCTAAACTAAATGAACTGCATGAAAAGCACATAGCATGTAACAACTATCAAATTATGCGCAGTCAAATTCTCGGTTGACACATAATTATAAAACACATAATTACAAAAAAATGTTATTTAACAAAATAACAGCTACGTCATTTAATCAATGTGAAATACAAATTTTATGGGATTTTTTTTATAAAGGCTTCATCAAAAATGCGTATTTGTTACACCTAGTATACCATTATTCTTGTTTTCCAGTCTATTTGTCTACGTCTCTACCAGTCTACTAGTTTACCTGTCAACCAATTTGCCTGTAGACCAGTATACCTGTCCACCAGTATGCCTCCTATACCTGTCCACCAGTATACTTGTCAACCTCTATCAGTATCAGTCTAAATTGGTAAAGTAGCTATCCACCAATTTACTGGTCTATCAATTTAACTATCAACCTGTTTATCAACCCGTTTTACCTGTCTACCAATTTACCTGTCCACCAGTTAACCTACCTACCAATTTACCTGTTTACATGTTCATCTGTCTATGTATGTATCTATCTAGCTGTTTAACCGTTTACCTTTTTACATGTCCACCAGTATACCTGTCAACATTTTTATCAGTCTACGAATTTAGCTTTCCACCAATTTACCTGCTCCTACAATTTACCAGTCTATCAATTTACCTATCTACCAATTTACCTATGAACCTGTTTATCAATTCACCATTAACCAATTTACCGGCGATCGAACGTATAGTTTATAAAAAAAGATAAGAATTATTTACAAGATTTAATAGTAATCATATTATGATTACTATCAAATCTTGTAAAAAATTCTTACAAAATAGAGGCTTATGGTAGGAGGTTGAAAATTTAGGCTTATATATGTTTTTATATACCCATTATAAAAAATTAAAAAATAAAAATTGACCAGAAAAAATTTAAAAACATTTTAAAAAACATTTCGGGGCGACCAACCGCTTCTTCTTTGCTTCAATCAAAATATCCGAAGAAAACTGGCCCGGGATTTACCCAACAATTTTCATGGCTTTCAGACATATTGTTTATGGCGTAACAATTACACACACGCACACACACACACACATATATATATATATATATATATATATATATATATATGTATATATATAGTTAAATAAAATTGAGAAGTGTATTCAGTTATGAATGAATTTAATAAAAATGTACAATATTTTATAAATTTCCATATGTAATACGTCGCATTCGTCGTTAGACATTTCTTAAAGAACTATGAAAGAACGTGCATACAATTCCTAGAAAATTGCGTTTTTTAAAAGAATTATCATTACAATACCATACAATGAGCACAATAATATAATGAATAATATAATGAAAGAACAAATTGTGAATCAGGTTCAATTGCATTGTAGAAACTTGTATGGTAGCTTGATTATATATATATATATATATATATATATATATATATATATAAAGTGCAACTATTGCAACATTGATGAGTAAAAATGTAAAAAAGACTTACAACAATGTTATCTGTAGTGTTCGGCGATCTCGAGAAAATTGGATCACCTAGAAAATAAGAAAAAACATAGTTTAATACACTGCTTACAATGCAAGATACATGATAAAAAACAGACTAAACTCTGTTGCAAAGTTATATAAAAGTTTATAAAAAAGAAGAAAAAAATATTCTAATATGTATTAACTGTCCAAAGAACGTAACATATATTCCATTATATGAAATGCAAACTAAAAAAAGATAATTATATATTTAACAGTGTGTTTTATTTGTATATATATATATATATATATATATATATATATATATAATAAAGTCAGTTAATGAATCAATTTAAATAATTCACATTAATAGTATTAATTAAAGATAATACTTCTGTTGGCATAATATAAACTCCTAGTTTCGCGAAGACAAAGTTATCTTGTATTAACTGTCCAAAGAACGTAACATATAACATTATATAAAATGCAACTAAAAAAAGATGATTATATATTTAACAGTGTGTTTTATTTGTATATATATATACATAATAAAGTCGTTCTTGGGCGTCCATCCATTAATTGAAAATATTTTATTGAAATAAAATGTTTTATTGTCTGTTGTTTTGGGTTCTGATTTGACCCATCTTTAGTGCATACAAATAATTTGAAAAAAAAAAACAAAAAACACGGAAAATATAATGCACCAATTACTATACAATTTTCAAAGCACAAATTTTAAAAACTATTAAATTAAAATAAATATTAAATTAAAATAAAATAAAGGAAAAGGTTTTAAAAAAAAGAACTATTCTCATTGAGACATGTTATATGTTTGGGAAAAGTTTTAATAGTTTAATAGTAATATATATATATATATATATATATATATATATATATATAATTAGATTTTTTTATTCGACGTTGAAACATATCTTGCATATTGATTTTCAGCCAATCGTCGAAATATAAGAAACCAATTAACTAAAATTTCATTGGTACTCTTTTATAGTGATAACATTGTAATTAAGTTTGATGCAATATTTCATCAAAAAAAATCATCAGCAGGATTGGGATAAATATTTATTAAGCTTATCTCTTGTGAAATTGCTTTTTTTAATTTAATTTACTTTTTAATTCATTGCCTTTGCCAGAGTGAAGATTTAGTTGGTCTCTTTTACCCCAGCCAGGTGTAAGCTTTTAAAATTATTAATACATCTTATAAAACAATTAAATAACGTATACTTAAGAATTATATTAGGGTCTAAAAAACTAAGCAACATTCACAATCAAAATTTGTGGATTTTTAAACATTGTCGTTCATCACTCGATAGCAACGTCGTAAAAATCAAAGTCATGTCTGTTTATAGATCTTTTCCTCTCTACTTTCAAATATTGTTGTTAAAAAATTATAAGTAAAATTATACTTGTTTTTAAGATATAGGTGGTGGACCTATTTATCCGCATACCCTTAAGCCCCGTTGTACCCTATACACACACATACACACAAGCACACACACACACACATATATATATATATATATATATATATATATATGTATATATGTGTGTGTGTGTACGTGTGTGTTTGTTTTAAATATATGAAATATCTCTTGCCAGAAGAGTCCTAAAAAAACATAGTTATTGCAGCAATTGCAATTTAATTGAATTTCTAGTTCATTTATTATGATGGCTCGAGAGAAATTAATCCATCTACAGATAAATATTATTTTTCAAACTGCAAAAACCACTGCAGGCAAATAGAGGATATTTGCTATTTAGAGGATATTTGGCGATAAAAAGATACATTATACATTAAAATATACGGAAATTATTTTCTGTATATTATAATTGTATTCCATGATAGAACTCCATCATAAGACATCATTATAAGATATGATTTATAAGATTTGACCTATCTTATTTTCTAAAAAAGTTGTAAAAATTTATGAATCAAATACGATGTCTATTTACGAATGAAAGTCATATACAATTATAACATTATTATATCTTTGACATAATAATCAATATTAAAAATAATAAAATGTCTTATAAATCAATGGTAAAATAATTAATACAATAAGATTTTAATATTTAAGACAATGAAACACAAATAATATTTATATTTAGTAACAAAAAGATGAATTTGAAATAATTATCATTAAATTATTAAATTGTAGCAATATACAAAAAATAAATTATATAATAACCAAAATATAATGAAAATAATAAATGCGAAATATTTTTATCAATTCATTAAATTCAATCATTAAAAATTATAAAGCATAATTTAAGCAATTTAATTACAGCAAAAACTATGAAAATTGTCTATAAGGATAATATTCAAAATGATTATACAAATACATTTTCCATATTACAACATATATAAAGATTATTAAAAGGAAAATTTCATAAAATTTAATTACTTAATAAAAATATTTCATACCAAAAATTAATACGCTTATTGATGACATAATATTTATTAAATCGTATAATTGTATTGAAACGATTATACTACTATCAATACTACTATCAAATATAGCATAAAATTTTATATCAAAAAATAATTACAGGACAGAGAGAGACCTGAAGGTTCGCGAGTAAAAAGGTTCACTACAGCTTCCTCAAAAATAAGTTATGTTAGGCATTTTTAACAACAATATTTGAAACTAGAGGGCAAAAAATATATAATCAGCCATTACCTTGATTTTTACGGAGTCGCTATCGGTAGATAAACAGCAATGTTTGAAAATCCGTAACAAAAGTGTGTCTTTTCGTTGTTAGATTTGTTTGGCTGTAAGTACTGTTGTTTACGAGACCACAATATAATTTTTAAAAAAACGTTATTAAATTGTTTTGTAAGATGTATTGTTATGTTTAAATTAGATTCAACCGTTTTTTCATATCTTTATAAAAGCTCACATGTGAATGGGATATAAAGGACCAACAAAACCTTTACTCTGGTAATGTGTAAATAATGAATTATAAATAGTTATTTCAACTCTGCTGATGAATATTTTTGACAATATATCAGATCAAGCTATCTTGGTAAAAAAATACCCAAGCAATTTATATTCTTCATTGGTTGAATAAAATTCCTTTAAAATTAAAACTAGGACATTCAATTTTTATTTATTTATTTATTTATTCATTCATAAGTAAGCCATAATCAATAATAATAGATATTATTTCAGGCTATTGTCAAGCTCATTCATAATTAATATTAAACAGATAGAAATTTTATAATAATCATAATAGCTGCACGATTTCGCTTCTGAAAAAAAGAGCTGAAAAAAAAAGCATTCGAACATTAAATACAATGTTCATCATCAAGTTCACCATATTAAAGTCTATTTGACCACCAGTCAAGCTCAAAATTCTTGCACAAGGTTGAAAGTTATACTCATTTAAAACCGTAAAAATTTAAATTAATAAAATAGCAAAAAACACACATGGTTGTACAGGCGATCAAATGGTCAGACTTCATAGATAAAGGATAAGGATTATGCAAGAAAATAATTATTGAAACAAATTGAGAAAATTCAGTAATGTCATAGAAAGCTAATTCTTTAAAAAGTTTGACTAGGAAAGCATGAAATTTTTTGCTGTCTAAGTTTCGGATATTGAGTGGAAATTTATTCATAAGCTGAATACCTAAACCGTCAATCGTATTGAAAGAGCTGGCTAATTTATATGTGCGCGTCTTGATAAGTTTGTGTCTAGTGTTGTAGTTTGAGGAGGACGAAGCTATATCAAAAAGTTTCGAATTGTTTTTGATGAAAGATAATGTTACCAGCAGAAAAATGTATGAGACAGTTAGAATATTGTGTTTTTTAAATATGGGTCTGCAGGAGGCTTTACTGGTCAAGGAAAAAATTATTCGAATAGCTCTTTTCTGAAGCCTTAATATTTTAATTAGTTCGGATGAAAAACCCCAAAATTGGATGCCGTATGAAACGTGAGAATAAAAGTTGCTATAATAAACTGAAAGTAAGCAATTTAAACCGAGTTTGGGTTTTAGGGTGCGCAACATGAAACATGTTCTAGATAAAGTTGGTGATAGTGAGATAGAGATATGATCAAACCACTTTAAATTATTATTAATATGAATACCAAGAAATTTTGATACTTGCGAAAAATTATATGCTGAATTATTGATGGTTAAAGAAGTAATATTATTGGATAAAATATTTTTTGCACAGGGTCTTATCATTATTTAGGACTAGATTATTTTCACAAAACCATTTCGTTATTTCTGACATAACCGCACTTAATTTATGTTGTAATACATTAAGAAATTTGGCCTTGATGATAACGCTGGTGTCATCCGCAAAAAGAATAAAATCACAAAGATTTGTACAATGGGGTAAATCATTAATTTATATGGGAAATAAGAGAGGCCCTAAAATTGATTCTTGGGACACACCCAATGTGCTTGTCAATGTACACCCAATGTACTTGATTTGTTTGCGCCTAGAGTGTAGGGCCCCGTCTAGGGAATAAAAAGGGACAGAGAACAAATTTTAGATAAATAGTAAAAAAACACATTGCTACAATTAGGAATTATCTGATAATTTTACTGAAAATAGTTAGAGAGTTGCTTATATGATAGGTTTTATGTGTTGTGATGTAGTTTATTTAGTTTAGACAGTATAATTACTTAAAGTCAAATTGAACCAGTGTGCCCCGCCCTACCCTATGTATGTATATATTATACTAAAATTTAATTTTAAGTTTTATATAACAGAAAATTTAAGTATGTTTAAATTTTTATATGTGTTTCATTTCATTAATTTAGGTTTGCATCTTATCAATTATTTTAAATATTTGAACTCAACTGAAAGTCAATCTAGCATTTTCTTAGTAATTAACAGTGATAATTAATATTTTAAGAATTTAATTTGTTAAATTCTTTTTTTTTTCAGATATCAGGAAGTTCAATCAACAAATTTTACAGCAAAATACTATTAAAAGCTGGTTATTAATTTATATAACATGACATTAATATATATTAAACTATAATATTTTATATTGGATAATAAACGTATCGTAATTTATTTTCAATAGGTCCC